ATAAAACTATGTGGGATACCCCCATGATGGATGAGATTGGATGAATATTAACTATATAGATTAAATAATCAGTAATCACTACATTAGATTATCACAATAAAAATAGATATCCATCACTATTAATAGATACCCGGTACATAATTTTAATACCTCAAAAAATCTGATAGTAGTGAGAATCACCCAGATTTTCATAGATTTTCATGGTACCTCATTTACCAGAGCCCAGGGGTAATCCAGGGTCTCCAGGGTGGACCTCACGTGGAATATAGGTCGCTGGAGAGGCTGGGGATGTTCATTGAGGATGACTGGGATGACTATTGAACATGACCCAGTCGAAAATAGTGAGTTTTCCCAGCTATAAACATGGTGGATCTTTCCATCGTTTTTTGGTATATGTTTACCGTTTTTATGGTATCACCCATAATCCAAAAAATGGTGACATGGCGTGCTGGAAGATCCACCAATTATCCATGGTTTACCCTCGGGCAATTGAACGATTTGGAAAATCACCCTCTTTTTCATATAGGTAAATCAACTATCAATAGCCATTGAATCAATAGCTATGATGTTAGTTTACCAGAGGCTCTTGGAGATTCTTCTCACCCATGGATGAGTAGAGAGCTGCGCCTCAAGGCCTCAAGACCTGGAGCTCTTCACAAGGCTGTGATTTTCGCCGAAAAATTCTCCGATCATCAAATGTGGCCATTGGAAATCCCCTTGAAATAGAGGTCTTTTGATGATCTTAGTGGGGAAAATGCCATCGAACGAAATGGGTGAAGTGAAGTTTCATGATTTTTCCAGCACGCCATGTTTGAGAAAATCGGAGGCTAATCATGGGGATTCAGTCCGGACACGCCGCAAAAAGATGATCCCCAATCCCAATAGTGAGGGTTTATTAAGGACTTCTGAAGCACCAAGAACCACTTTCATAAGGGCTTAATTATCCAATTAATTAACCGTCTATCTTTGGCAGGGTCATCTTTGAGGTTTGGTGAAATCCCGATATAGCAAGGGCAATCACCCTTAGCGGCGCCTCGTTCCTTGCCATCACCAGGTCCAAGCTCTGCAATCAGCTGGTGTCCTTTGTGACCGAGCTCGCGGAGGCCGCAAAAGGCCTGCCTTGCGATCCAGCCAGAAAATCCACAGCATCTCCACTAGTCAAGAGCTCATCGCGCCGCAAATTGCACAGAAGTGAATTTAGTTCAGCTTGTGGTGTAGTAAATTGTAGTAATGTAGTCGTGACGTCAATTGACGCTTCAAGTTGAACCATTTGAATCATTTGAAGAAGACGGGCTCCACGATTCTTGAGGTGATGGCTCTCTCTGGCATCCTAGATGAAATGGAGCCGGACCACTCAGATCACTATATATAGCTATCACTCGCAAAAACGTCAGTGCCACTGTCAAATATGATATGTTATTATTATGAATTATTCTGTAATTTTTATGTTATGGTTATGATAAACATGATCAACTTAGGAGTTGGATTGAAGATTTTCCACCACTTCATCAACCGATGCGCTTCGGAAACAAAGCTTTTCGAAGCTGGCGATGACCCCAGTTCGACCCATGGTTCCTCAGATGGTAGCAGAAGAGCTGTGGCCGCCATGCTGGGCCATCGACATTTTCTAGGCATCAAAGACTATGTGAACGCAGTGAAGGTTTGCTTACACAAGCTTTGGGCACTTGCCTCAGTGTCCATGGATAGCATACCATAGCATACCTAGATATTGGGATGATCAGCTGTGTGTGTCTCAAAAATGTGTCGCTTGAGAGATTGGTCCCACATTGGTCCCACGTGATGTTGGGATCCGCCGAGTTCATTCTCATCCGAGTTCCCAGGTCATGCGGCCCCTGAGCATGCCAAAAAGGCGCAAAGCCTCGATGAGATCCGCGGAAAATCCACCGATCAATCACCAGTTCTTTTAAAGACAACTGCCATCACTGGAGGTTATGCCCCCCCAGTTTCATCCATTTTCGGTATATGTATATAATAATATATATATATATATACATGACATATCCCAATCTGTCCACATCACATCCCCAATATGCCATGATTGGTGAATTTACCAGCCCATGGCTGTTTTCAGGCTGAAGCGTTGGCGAAAGAGCTCTCGTACTACTTGCGCGGCGCCTTTGGCGATGAGAGGTGAAGTTCCGCCGGGGGGTCCCGAGTCGGGACGAGCGACGCTCGCGATTGGTGGGATGAAGCCACTGGTTTTGGTGGCCACTGTAGGGAAAAGTGGTATGAACAATGATATACTATACTTTGGGATGTATTGGAATGTATTGGAATGTATTGGAATGTATGTGATATATTTCAATGGTATATAGCATTCAATAGTATTTCCATATGCTAGTCAAGTGGTATTGGAATGTACTATTCAATACTATTCCAGTGGCCACCATTGATTTGAAATATGGAATGTAGTCATATGTAGTCCATTTCATTGATGAGAATTAGAAGAAATGTTATCAATGGATGGACTGGATATTATATATATAGCCTGTTCAGAGAAAAACCATGTGTTTCTTGCACTGTGTGTTCTTGTTTTCGATCACAACCAATGATCACCAACTGAAGCATCTTTATCCTATGGAACTGCAGGCGGATTGACTATGGAACTGGTCATGAAGTGGCATTCCTGGGGGTACTCTTTGCATTGGGAGCGTTCAAGCCTTAGTTATCGTCTCAAAATGGAAAACATGGAAAAATCCATCCACATCATGTTCCCTGCGAAATGGCCATTGTGGGGATACACCAGTATACCATGGCCCATGGTATCCCATGGTATACCATCATGGTATACCATGGTATACCCCATGGTATCAGACACATCCATTTCTTGATGATTCCAAACAGCAAAATCAGGCCTGATGCTTTCTGAATCTTTCTGAGGACAGGCGTGCTAGCGCGTGCAGATGCCGCTGATGCCGTTCTCATCGTCCCTCTCTCAATCCACAAGGATTCCTGGATTGGCTCAGAATAGATATCTCAAAATCAAGATTAATCATGATTAATCTGGTTTGTGCTTTGGAACATTTTTTTCCATATAACAATAGTCCCGTTTGATTCATATTTTTCAGAGGGGTTGAAACCACCAACCAGTTCATGGTTTGCTACTATTTTCAACATCAAATTGGCGATCCCATGGCGTGAATCTCTAACTTTGAGCCACCTGGATGACTGGATGCCGTGTCAGAGGTTTTTGCAGACTATATCAGAGTTATGCGGAAACTGCAGAAGGCCAGGCTGTTGCAACTTGGTGGTAGATGAACAGATGAACATCGCCAATATGTTTTTTTTGTATGTGTGCTGATTGATTTGATTGTGCTGTGTGTTTGAATGTGTTTGAGCTGTTGGTGTCCGCTACTGGACTGGTGCATGGGCCAGGTCTATGTCTTGGAACCAGCAGGCCATGATAGCTGAAAGCTTTTCGAAACTGCTGTCCGACGTAAGATTTATGTGGTAAACCCAATCATAGAGCAGCTCCAATGACTCCCCAGAAATCAGTGGAATTGGAGCCCTCCAACATGGATCATCCAATGGTAGGTCTAGGTTTACCATATGATACATACGCCATCTCTGCAGGTTCGCACGGAGTTTGGGGACTAGACGTGTGGGACCCAGAATGGTTTCCGGCATCCTGGGGCCCTGGGCCGACGTGATCCCCACCGGGTGGCAACCTAGGACTATCACATGCTTCCCTTCCTCTTTGGGGCTGCGCAATTGATTGGAAAGGAGGAGGAGGTGGGATATCTATGGATATCTGGGATTTTCCAAGCTTCTAACAAAACCCATCCAATGACCATAGGTCACTATTTCCAGCATATCTTTTGAATGTTTGATCCCTTTGGGAAGAGGATAGCTGTGGATAGCTGAATGCCTCGCAGCCCTGGAGCAGGTCCCCACTGGGGAGGTCTACCGAGAGAAGGCGCCAAAAGAGCAATGGTGGCTTCGATATCTGAACATTTCGGGGTAAAGCGGAAAGCCATGGAAAAGCCAGGAATTTGATGGTCGATCATCATTTTGCCCATTAAAATCTATTAGAGTATTGAAACAATGATAACAGTGGATAAACATGGAGTATTATACGACAGTATACAGTAGACCCCAGTTTTGGACAGACCGAGATTTCAACAAGTCAAACGACCCTCCATTCCAGACAGCAGAATGGAAGAGACACTTCGATGTGATACTGTACTAAAATCACACAGTCGAAGCCTGCCTGATAGATAGTGGAGAAGTATGCTGACCAGTATTTGTATGCCACTTGGATGAAATCAAGAGTCACACTCCTGCCAGTATTTGTGTGTCTGAAAATGGGGTCTACCTCCAAAAAGGCCACTTTTTCTCTGGGGAACATCATGATACGGGATTTCCGGGTACCCCATTTCAAGACTGGCAGCCACATCAACAGCTGCGCAGTGTTTCTTCCCCCACTTTGCGAATGGAACCGAGGTTGATGCCATTCGCCAGGCCGACATATTGTCCGATGTGAATTTTGGCGTCACATAATTTTTCAGGATGGCGCTATAGAGAATCCCAAACACACTTGAACTTGATTCCAGGTACTACTAGACATGTGCTTCGTGTGCTTCAGATGAGATTTGTCCAGGTTTTGCTGGCGAAGAAAGGCGCTCCATTCCATGAGACATCGCCGATGCTGTATGATATCACTTCAGTAGCACACCTAGTCCCATCCCGTCCCAATCCGTGAAGCAAGAAGCATCCATGAGCATCCAGGGGTGTCCACGGCTCCGTCTCCAATTGCCATAAGGTACCAGATTGGCAACGCACGCACGCAGCTGAGTTGTCACGAATTCTCCAGCAGTCCATGTGTAGTCGATGGATCCCGACAACAGAAGCCACGTCCTGTGCTGTGATCCCCAGGTTGGGAGGAATGGTGAAGATGTGGAGGGCGGAGGTCTTGGGGAAGTTCCCAGTCATTCAGCACTTCCTCTTCGGTCCAACCCTGCAATGGCCAGCAAGGGCCTCAGCTTTGTCAGCTGGTGCTTTGTTGGGGAGGCTGACCCTCTGGTAAACTATAGCATAACTATATGGAAAATAACAATCTTCAATACGTATAGGTAAATCAACTATTTCTATGTGCATCTATGTGCCATTTTCATATGTTAAATTACCAGAGGGTAGCTGCTGATTTGAGGCGTGATTGCCTTTGCGCTGTCGAATGAGCAATCCAGAGAGTCACTGTCAGAGTCAGCTTTCCAAAGATGGAAGCTGCTCGAAGCTGCTGCTCTGGTGCTCGCTTCATGGAGATTCAAAAAAGACTCGGTGATACTTGCTGCCCACAAAGACCAGGGAATGTTGAAGCTTCAACCAAAGGGTTTCCTAGCAAACTGTCTGTGGACCATTTCGTTGACAGCAGGCTTCCATTCGAAGATCTCACGGACAATACGCGAGCTGCTCATACCCATGCTCTGCATTTAAGGAATTTGCCGGCATGATTCATCACTTAAATCACTGGAATTATTTACGAACATGTGTTATTATGAATGATTTATTATGTATGATGTTATTTTTCTTACTACAACCCATGGTTTTTCCGCATCACATTTGACAGCTGTCCTAGGCCGGCTCTGAGTGGAAGCCATACTTCACCATCAAGGCACGAGCGGCGCATGGCGATCGCACCAGCGTTCCCCAAATGTGCTGAAACAGTGAGTGATATTTATTAAGCGTTCCCCAAATGTGATTGCATAGTGACATCATATAGTGACATAATATAGTGACATAGTGTTTGTCTTAAATGGTTGGAAAAAGTGCTTCCCAAGTCAGTGATTTTCAATCAAGTTGTCAAGTTACTCTCAAGTATTCCGTGACGTCGATGGAATCCGATGACGACCTATGACGACCCATGGGCCGTCGCTGTCATGGAATAGTCTTGTCACTTGGTCAGGACATTTGCCTCATGCCCCGCATCAAAGAAGTCTTGAACCGGTGACCGTTGAAGAACGTTGAAGAAGGGAACCACTTCTCCCTTGAAGCCATCTTTCGAAACAAGGATTTGGGTACCTTGATGAATATTCCGAAGCTTCCAAGATCTTCCAAGTACCAAGAAAAAATATGAAGAAATTGGCAACATTAATATGCTATATATTGCTGCTATATTATGCTATATTCATTGTTTCAAGACTTTTTCCAATTTTTATGGCTACTTGGAGGGTCTGTTCACCTTAAATTCACCGCGGGGACAGAAGAGGTACTGCTTTGACGGTCAGAAGGGCTTGCTGGCTGCGGCTGTTGACGTTGAGGATGAGGTTCGCAGTAGTTCTGGACACTTCTGGACGTGTTATGGCTGTGGCTGATAGCATCTCAAGACAATTGGGGGGTCCTGAAAGGTACACATACCCATAGGATCCATGTATGGTATATATGCCAACATTTGGGGTATATTGATGGTAAATGTTACCATATATAGCATACATGGATCCTATGGGATAGCTGGATGGTTGATAAGATGGAAAATCCGATGACTGAATTTCCTATGAAATTCCTATGAAAATCGATGATCACTGGGGGCGACCATGACTTTGGAAACCTGCCCCAGCCCCAACCTGATGGCTCGCTGAGGAGATGCCAGTTCGCGTGTGCTTCGAGGCAGTGTATCCCATGATATCCCATGAAAAGCAAGACCTGAAAGTATCCAACAGGAGCTCACCACCTGAGAAAACGATAAGAGGAAAAAAAACGATAACGTGATTTTGGGCAATTTAAAAAGATACGGGGTTTTTATACAACCCCACTTATTGATACTTATTGTATCTTATTGTGTTTCTGTGTTTCTTATAAATTTAGTTTTAATGTTGATATCTTTGTTTGTGTTTAATTACTATGTTTTGATCTTCTTCGCTGATAGCGACAGAGACTTGCAATAAAAGTAGCTTATTCTCATAAAATATGTGATATGTTGATGCTTTTTCTAATGACAAAGGACGGCAGCATTTGTTCTTTGACGTCAGGCAAAGGATGCGAAAGGCATGTGCGCTCAAAGGATGCTTTGGTTGGCAACCGAGGTTCCGTTGGATTGACTTGATCAACCCAGTGCAACGATAGAGTGCTTGGATCAACTTCAACCCAGGCTGGAACTGCCGTACACACCAATCTTCCGGTGGTATGCCTAGAATTGGCTAGACTCTGTGCGGTGAGCATTTGGGTACAGTACCTACATGTACCTACTATTTTGCAGATATTATCAATTCGAAGATGTAATATGAATTAATATGAGGCCTGTTGAGGTTACAGATATTGCAATAACATATCATATTTGTGTTACAACACTGACAGATCTTATGGAAATGATAAGATGGTTGTGTCAGTGTTTTGACTTCTTTGGCCATTTCGATCCATTTCGCCATGGCCTGAGGTATTTTCAAACAGCCAGGAGGTTGCGCCGGTTTCGCGAATTGCTGATCCCCACTATACGTCGTTTTTTCGTGGACCTCCATGTCGACTTTATGTGATGCTATTGTAGGCTGTTGTGTTGCTGTTTTGGTCGATGCTGGTTGCATGCCCAAAAATGACTCATGGCATATCCTTTGCGTTGAGCTATGCCAGTGGTTTGTACAAAACAAGATGCGTTTGAACCAACAATCTCGGAACCGACGCTTTGGTGTGTTTGTTTGTGCAATGACGGTTCAATGACGGAGCCAAACGCATGAAATGTCAATGTTCTATATAGAAATATAGAATCCTTTCTATTTTGCAGGTGCTTCCCTTACTAGGCACAGCTTGAGCAACTTCACTGGCAGGTGCAAAGAGGTTCAGGTGCTGCTTGAGCCAAAGATCGATACGAGGCTAAAGGTGGAGGCGGAGAGATTCATCTGACTTTTTTGGATTCAGATTACCCTCTGGTAAACTAACATAGCTATTGAAAATGGCCATAGAAATAGTGGATTTTCCCATTAAAAATGGTGATTTTCCATAGCTATGTTAAATTACCAGAGGGTATGGCATCCACCATCAGCTGAATAGATTTGGATTTGTCAATAGATGGATGAATTAAATAAATTATCACAAATAGTTTTATCAATATTTAACAATATATTTAACAGCTTAGCAGATATTGAGTAACCAAACCGTCAGTGGCACTGGAGCATATTGAGCCGTATTCAAACCTATGAAGACAATGCATTTAACATCATTTAACATCAATTAACATCAATTAACATCAAATAACATCAATTAACATCAATAACATCAATTAACATCAATTAACATCAATTAACATCAATTAACATCAATTAACATCAATTAACATCAATTAACATCAATTAACATCAATTAACATCAATTAACATCAATTAACATCAATTAACATCAATTAACATCAATTAACATCAATTAACATCAATTAACATCAATAACATCAATTAACATCAATTAACATCAATTAACATCAATTAACATCAATTAACATCAATTAACATCAATTAACATCAATTAACATCAATTAACATCAATTAACATCAATTAACATCAATTAACATCAATTAACATCAATTAACATCAATTAACATCAATTAACATCAATTAACATCAATTAACATCAATTAACATCAATTAAATCAAATAACATCAATTAACATCAATTAACATCACTTAACATCAATTAACATCAATTAACATCAATTAACATCAATTAACATCAATTAACATCAATTAACATCAAATAACAGCAATTAACATCAATTAACATCAATTAACATCAATTAACATCAATTCATCAATTAACATCAATTAACATCAATTAACATCAATTCAATTAACATCAATTAACATCAATTAACATCAATTAACATCAATTAACATCAATTAACATCAATTAACATCAATTAACATCAATTAACATCAATTAACATCAATTAACATCAATTAACATCAATTAACATCACAATTAACAGCAATTAACATCAATTAACATCAATTAACATCAATTAACATCAATTACATCAATTAACATCAATTAACATCAATTAACATCAATTAACACAATTAACATCAATTAACATCAATTAACATCATCAATTAACATCAATTAACATCAATTAACATCAATTAACATCAATTAACATCAATTAACATCAATTAACATCAATTAACATCAATTAACATCAATTAACATCAATTAACATCAATTAACATCAATTAACATGCAATTAACATCAATTAACATCAATTAACATCAATTAACATCAATTAACATCAATTAACATCAATTAACATCAATTAACATCAATTAACATCAATTAACATCAAATAACATCAATTAACATCAAATAACATCAATTAACATCAATTAACATCAATTAACATCACTTAACATCAATTAACATCAATTAACATCAATTAACATCAATTAACATCAATTAACATCAATTAACATCAATTAACATCAATTAACATCAATTAACATCAATTAACATCAATTAACATCAATTAACATCAATTAACATCAAATAACATCAATTAACATCAATTAACATCAATTAACATCAATTAACATCAATTAACATCAATTAACATCAATTAACATCAATTAACATCAATTAACATCAATTAACATCAATTAACATCAATTAACATCAATTAACATCAATTAACATCAATTAACATCAGCAATTAACATCAATTAACATCACATCAATTAACATCAATTAACATCAATTAACATCAATTAACATCAATTAACATCAATTAACATCAATTAACATCAATTAACATCAATTAACATCAATTAACATCAATTAACATCAATTAATTAACATCAATTAACATCAATTAACATCAATTAACATCAATTAACATCAATTAAACATCAATTAACATCAATTAACATCAATTAACATCAATTAACATCAATTAACATCAATTAACATCAATTAACATCAATTAACATCAATTAACATCAAATAACATCAATTAACATCAATTAACATCAATTAACATCAATTAACATCAATTAATGACGTCCTGTTTTGATGTGTCACCGCAGGCACTGAGTCCCAAGTCGTTCTTGGTGATGTTCGGTACCAAGACAGTCACCGATCTCGATGCCGGCGTGGGATACCCCAAGTTTTTTTATCACATTGCCATTTTGAATCATAACATAATATATATATATATGGTGATCGATCTAAAGGTCCTTATGTATAATATAACATAATATAACTAATATATATATATATACATATAATCATATATATATATGTCTATATATACATTCATAATGGCATACATATATAATAT